TTGAAACATGACTTATCTGGATCACTGAGTTTTTGGGGTCCCTTCAGTCTTACTCCTCATCTGCTTCACTGTTGTCCTCCCCGCTGGCCAAGCATCCCCTCCTTTACATGTCCTCTGTGCAGCCCCAGCTCAGGACACCTTGGCCTCAGCGGGTCACCCTTTGTTCCCTGCCACAATCCCTCCCACACTGAACTCAGCATTACCTCCCTTGGGTGCAGGTTGGTTGTTCCTTCTCTCCCCCCAAACCCCTCAAAGCATCCCTGCTGCCTGCAGAGACCAGACTCCCTGGCCTCGTGTTCACTGTGCTGGCTCCATGTTGCGGGTCCTATTTCCTTTCCATCCTATTTCCTTTCCAGCTTCATTCCCAGCCATGTCTCTCACTTGGTCTACTCTTCCCTCCCCAAAGCAGCCTGCCCTGCCTGCCTCACTGCCTCTGGGCTGCTCTTCCCACGTGCAGCCTCCCTTCATCCCTTCTCTTCACTATGGGGTCTGGCTTAGCTTTCAGGGATCAGCCCCCCATGACGCCTTCTTGGAGTGTCCCCCATGGAACCCACCCCTTCTACAGTGTTTCGACTGTACCACATCTTTATAGTGTCTGACTTCTATATTCCTTACCTGCTGTCCCACTCCTGTTGTCCCCCAGGACAGACTGAGGGTGCTTCGACTGCAAAGTCTCCAACACCAGGCCTGGACACAGCACTGCCCGGTACCTCTTCAGCCTCCAGCTCGAGTCTACACCCTGACGGTTAGTCTGGGTTTCTCCTTCCCAGCCTCTGCAGTGGACCTCACTTCACGGCATCTCCTACCTCTTTCCCTCTGTCTGTTGAATGCCCCGTTGACGCCTCAGACTTGGTTTGAAAATGGAGTCCTGTTCTAAACTGTGCACTCCAAACACTGACAGCAAAGGTCTGCAGTGACCACTCACAGTTGTTCGTAGGTAACATTATCCCAGATGACATTCCGACACCCACTACTTGATGGCTTCTCTTATCTTCTGAGGTCCTCCACATGAAGCTGGCATGAGCAGGGGACCTCAGAACCTCTCCCCAGTCACATGTGGAAAGCCCCCAAGTGAGTCCAGCACTGAGGACAGCATGGAGCAGTGACAGGTGCCCTCACTGCCCCTCACCCACCTGTTTCCAGCCCTGTGTGCTCTATGAGGAAAGGCAGGGGCCTTCACGCCAACCAACCATAGCTTCACTGAAGATCTGTTTAAATATAAATTCCAATTTCTGTTACAGCTGAAAATCAAGATGGACTCACCTGCTTTTTCATGTGAGGTAACCGCCAGCTTCCCGCATCCCCTCCACCAGGATTCAAACCACCACCTTCCAAATTCATGGCTCTGCCCTGACACCTGGAGGGTCAGCAGCTCTCTCCAGTGTGTGAGGGCTGAGAGGGCGAGGAGCTGCAGAGTTCAGTTGCTGCTGCTCTGTGTTTTGCGTCTCTGTCTACACATACCCACAAACCTACAGATGGTGTAGGTTTTTATGTTATCATCTTCCAGAGCCCATTTCCTATGTCTTGACACCTGAAGGTTAGAGACCCAAGACCTGGTAAAGACTCTCATGTGCTAGGAACATTAATGGTTCTTTCACACATGCTACTTAATTGTCATTTAACCCTCATAACAATCTCAAAGGGTAGATGTATTAGTTTCTTGGGGCTGCTGTAACAAATTACCACAAACTGGGTGATTTAAAACAACAGTAATTTACTCTCATAATTCTGGACATTAGAAGTCTGAAATCCAGGGCTGGCCCGTGGCTCACTCGGGAGAGTGCGGTGCTGATAACACACTGATAACACCAAGGTCCCGGGTTCGGATCCCATATAGGGATGGCCAGTTCACTCACTGGCTGAGTGTGCTGCTGACAACACCAAGTCAAGGGTTAAGATCCCCTTACCGGTCATCTTTATATGGGAAAAAAAAAAAAAAAATGTCTGAAATCCAGCTGTCAGCAGGGTTGGGTCCTTCTGGAGGCTCTGATAAAGAATCCGTCCCATGCCTCTCTCCTAACTTCTGGTGGCTGCCAGCAGTCCCCGGTGTTCCTTGGTGTGTTGATGCGTCACCCCAATCTCTGCCTCCACCATTCCCTGTGTCTTCTGTGTCTATATCTGTTCATATTTCCCTCCTCGAAGGACACCAGTCACTGGATACAGGCTCATCCTAACCCACTATGACCTAATTTTATTACACATGCAAAGACCCTAGCTCCAAACAGGACACAGTCACAGATACCTGGAGTTAGGACTTCAGCATATTTTTTGGAGGACACAATTCAACCCACAATAGTAGGTACCATTCTAGTCTTTGTACTACAGATTGTAAACTGAGACTCAGAAAGTAACTTATCCAGAGATAGAGAAAATAAGTAAAGGAGCTGGCCACTTAGCTCAGTTGGTTAGAGTGCATCCTTATAACAACAAGGTCATGGGTTCGGATCCCTGTACCAGCCAGCCACCAAAAACCACACCGAAAGGAAGAAAGTAGGTGGTATGACTCCACTTTTTATTTATCTAGACCTAATTATTACCACCTTGTTGGGCCCTTGCTTGTCCCTGGCCCTCTGCTGGGTGCTTCCTTTTCATTTCTAATCCTCATATCAACTGCATATTGTTATTATCTCTCATTTCACAGAGGCTCAGATCATTTTAAGCAGCTTGCCCAGAGTCACACAGGTGGGAAGCAGCAGATCTGGGATTCAATCTGAAGTCCTAGCCAGTAATTCTCACCCAGCTCAACACCCAGAACGTCTTTGGGAAGGCTCACCCCTCCTCACCCCACACCCCTCGCTCGAGATGGCATAACTCCCTCCTTGCAGCTGAGAATCGTGACTGTAAATAACGTGTCACTGGAATTGTCCAAGTGAAGAATGCAGAGGCAGAAAATTAATGACTGAGGATCACAGCCCTGCCCCTCGATGCCTCCCAGGGGATGATGGTCCAAAGACCAAGTGTTCACTTCCCTTCCAGCAGCCAAGGAAGCATTGAACCAAAAACCCGCTCAACAAGGAAACCCCATTAAAGAGCAATATATGTCACACCAAACTGAGGGCTGAGGATCACTTCTCTGTTATAACAGGTACCTTACGGGGAAGGAGCCTTCACTACTGCAGTGAAGAGGAACCAGGTCTCAGACAAAGCCTTAATTGGTTATTTAACTTACTTCATTCTTCCTCAAAATAAAAAATCGAAACCATCACTTCCTGGCCACTGCTGTGCACTCTTTCTTAATATCAAAGATGTGTCACACACACATGCACACACTCATTGGTACCTTAGAAACACAGCAACCCTGAGCACAGGATCCTGAAGACAATGCGTAAGTCACAGCAACTTACTTAAATCAACACAAGGAATGACTGAGAAAACACTCCACCCAGTGCCACTAACATAGCTTTGATCAGTACCTACAAGCTAAATTCGATTTTGCTCCTATTATCTCAAAAAGATACCACAGAAGTAGGAGCTAGGCACCTGGGCTTTGGAGGCAGGCAGTCTTGAATGCCAGCCCCAGCTCTATAACACATATCCATGGGAACTTAGGTAAGTTCGCTTTTCCAAACCTCAGTTTCCTTTCCTGTAAGATGGAGATATTAATATTTACCTCAGAAAGCTGTTAACGAGGAATATAAACATACCACTCTGACTCTTGATTCCTAACAGTGAATATGAGCTACAAGTAAGTAAAATATTGTTTGAGATTGGATCTTATTTATCCTATGTGCTAAATTTCTATTTAAAAGAGACCTGGCTTAAATAATGAATGTGAGCCCGGCTCTGGCACAGACGTTGGAGATGAGGAAACAACTGACAGAATGAAAAGACACCAGATTGACAGAAGACACTCATTTCTTTCATGTGCTCAATATTATCCTATGCACACAGATGCACACAGACACACACAACTAGATGGGGTTAGGGGTCAACCTGTAGCCCTTCATTGCCTGCCTGCACTCCTTAGCAGCCCACTCAGAACAGGTTTAGTTAGGGCATGTGAAGGCGGTGGAATACGACACCCAAGCCCCAGATTGAGAACTGCTCAGCCCGAAGATGTGCCAGGAAGAGACCCAGTCCCAGACCCCCTTCTCAAGTGGGAGAAAGTATTTAGGAGGGAGAAAGAAAAACATAGGTGCATGTGCTTCAAAAAAGCACACACACATAAAAACTATCAGAAAATAGAAATACATAAAGGTTCTGTGATTCACCCAACCTTATTAATTGATGCCTATGGTTTTAATGTTGTTACTAGAATCACAATGTTCATTAAGAGTATTTTTTCCCCAGTTTATTTAAGTTGGCAAATACTTTATGTTCAGTTTTATGGCTACGAGGCAAGATCCTTATGGGCAGGGAAGAAGTTCTATTCACCTCTGCCTCCTTTGACTTAGTAGCATGTGGAACAGAGATGACAAATACAAGTTTTATCTGTCCCATCTGAAAGAGTGCTATCTAGAGGCAACTGCCTCAAACTGCACCCAACTGGACCTACACCCAGTGCCAAGCAATTTGAAATGCATCTTGAAATAAATATAACTGCAGAAGTAATATGTACTCTCAATGCAAACCCTGGAAAAAATAAAACGTGTAAGACTGACACAATTAAAAAATGGCATCTAAGTAGAAGTTTGTTATTTGAAGGAAAAAAAAGCCTGAGCAGATTTTTGTTCATTGAAAGTACTGACAATCAGTTTCACCAAACAGGCTTTAATGGAAGAGGAACTGATTAATTCATCTTGTCAGTTACAATAATTTTTTTTAAAAAAACAGGCTCCAATATTAGCTAAATACAACTGTTCAAATACAATGTAAGAAGTATCTAAAAAACCTTTTTATAAAAACCCAGTAGCAGCAAAAACAATGAACATTTGTAAACAAAACCACTAGCAACAACCCTATGTTTAATAACAAAGAATCTGCATTCTTTTAAAACAAATATATACAATAAAGAGAATACTGACCATCTTTTTTTCAATATACAATACCCGATATCTAAAACAATGTTACCAATGATAGGCACAAATTGGTGTTATCATAAGGCACGTTGAACAATCTTTTTCATGATACTCAGGGGCATCATGTTGCTGCAGAGGGTAAATTTTCCAAAAGCCTTCTCCTAGCTGTGATCCTCGCACACCGGGGGCACTCAGAGGACAGGAAGCACTGTCTGTGAAAGCAAGCTCTGCATGCTGTAAGGAAGGAGGACAGCCATCAGCAAATGGGCTGCATTGTTTTCTCACCCACCTACAGACACTCATTCCCATCCTGTGGAGGGAGGGCTCTGAATCCAAAACACAGAGTCTTCTAAAAAGAAACCAGCTAGGATGAAACTCACAGTGCTTATAAATCCCTCAACAGGCCATGAACATGAGCCTCAGAGAGCCTGATGTAGTGTATGCTGCGGTGCCCCAAGACCCACCAGAGCACCAAGGTCCATGTTCCTCCAGTTGTTGAGACAATTGGTGGCTGATGCTTCTTGGGATGAAGCATTGCTTTTCTAGAAATGGCCCTAAAAATGCCTCATCCAAGATCATGCCCCCTTCCTGGTGCTAGCCTGCATCTAGTGACTGGTCAATGTGGAGATGAAAGGCTCAGCAGGTCCTGTGTTTCCAAGTTGGGACAGTGCTGAGAAGCCATCACAGCTCCAGAGTTCCCATGACTTCACTGCAACCACACCACAGTTCAGCATCTCCTTCTGCCCCATCCTGCTGCCTTCACAGCCCACACATGTATGGAGCTGGAGAACATGCAACTCTACATGCAAATCCCTGCCTCAAAGTCTCTTTGCTGGGGAACGAGTTCCCATGACTTCACTGCAACCACACCACAGTTCAGCATCTCCTTCTGCCCCATCCTGCTGCCTTCACAGCCCACACATGTATTGAGCTGGAGAACATGCAACTCTACATGCAAATCCCTGCCTCAAAGTCTCTTTGCTGGGGAACCTGTCCTGCGACACTACCTAATGGGCTAGGGGAGACAACACCAGAGTGGCCTAAGAGGAAGAAATGTACATAACAAGGATGAAGGCAGAATTATTACCAGGATTCCTCCTATGAATCAGTTGAGAGAGCATGGGATTCCCTCAGGCACTAATACCATAGAACAAGGGTCAGCCACCTTTTCTGCAAAAAGTAGCCAGAGACAACACTTCAATGCTGGGTATAACTATGATCCAACTACAAAAACAGGGGCAGGCATAGGCAAAAGAGGACCATCTCCTTTATGCAAACCCTGTACCAGAAGACATCATCCTTTATCCCTGCCCTATGCAAATACTCCTCCCTGTGTGCCCAGAACTTTATCGCCATTCCAATATACAAAGCATCATTGTACTTTAAAGAAATAACTTTGTGCTTAAGTTATTAAACCATTATTCAACTTAAGTTAATTTTGTGCTCAAATTATTAAACTTAAATTAACTTTGCACTTAAGTTGTTAAGCTATTATTAAGCTATATTATTAAATTACTAAGATACCTGAACATCTTCTACATATTGTGGTCTGAAATGGGAAGATGACGGTCGTACTCCGGCAAAATTCACAAATAAAGCCCTTTCCTTGACATAGCTGTAAGAAAAAAGTTACAACCCTCATTGGTAATGCTTCACTTGATGAAGAAGCTGAGTTACCACTTTTATAGAACTTTATAAGCATTAATTTTTGGATGTCTATGATTCCAGCCTCTAGAAGGAAAAGGATGTTGTATCCTGCAGCAATGAATAGATCAGAAGCAAAGAAATGAATTCACCCATTTCTCATCAAGGCTATTTAAGGCACCAGGAAAAGATCATAATTTTAAACAAAGCGTTCTTAAATTATCTAGTTTCATTTTTGATGGCTGCACTGGAATTCTTCAGTCATGTAGACATAGAGCTTCCTGTTCCATTGAATGCTGAGTCCACATGGCTGTACGTGGCACTTCAGAGCAGAGCAGGCCCCAAGTGGGGCTGGGTGCACACACTAAGGAGTCCCTTGGCCCAGGCTTGCACCCCAACTCTACCACTCATGAGCAGAATGATCTTAGTCCATTACGTCACAGCTCTGAACCTCGGCTTGCTCATCTGTAAATACCACTTCCCTCAGAGTGTGTGAGAGTTAATTGAGGTCAAGTGAAGAACACCCAGACCAGGCCCTGGCGCATAAGGGACAGCTCAGGCACACAGCTGCTCCAGGCAAACCCTCACCTCACAGCCAGCCACGTGTGCGAGGGAAGCTTTCAGAATGTCCTTGAGCGAGGGCATGAGCAGCCCTTTCTTGATCCTGACCAGGTCCTCCAGGGAGAACAGGTGGAGCTCATCAGTCAAGTGTCTCGGCACCTGCTCAAACTCCTTTAATGCACTGCCAGAGAGGAAACAAAGAGGAATTCAGAAACCGTCCCACACAGAGGCTGGGGAAGAATGGGGCTGGTTGTTTTCTCTTGGCACTCACAGTTAATTTTTTTAACTCAATTTTAAAAAATATAGCCCCAAGAACTACAGTGAACCTTGCTCACCACTCTGCATTTTGCAAGTTTTCTTGGAAGCCAGGAAGTTAAAATTCCATAAAAGCCGATTTCAAAAAGCTGAGCAAGCAGAGAAATGCCTCTCTTGCAGGCTGCCCATGCATGAACTGAGCAAAAGAAAACTGAAAATTTGTTTATCAAGTCTTAAAAATGTGTATCAAGTACTGTTTGATTACCCAGTAATCAAAATTACTACCTTATTCATTCCAGCTAAAGTCCAAGTACAAACAGTATCCCTAACTATTGTCTAAGCCTGTGGGAGAATTACTGCTCACAGGCAGGCATGTGACTCCCAACCCCATGAGTCCAGCACTGAGCTTAGGACTCGTGCACGCAACTGCTGGCAGTCAAGGTCACATAGGAGTCCCAAGAGCATTCAAAACTTAACTGAATCTTCTCCAAGCCCACCTCGTCTCCTGCCAAATTCCTAAATCAGTTAATGGCAGCACCAATCGCTGCATTCCCAAGCCAGCCACGGCCTATGCTGGACTTGGTTCTCTACTAATGCTAAGCAGGCTTTAATTCTCACCCAGCCTGGGATGCTCGCTCACACTGCATCTTCTGTCCGGAGGTTATCCTCTTCTATGCTTTAATTTACTCTTCAGGCTCAGGCTTTTTCTCCAGGAAGCCTTGCCTGCTCTCTAGCCCACCCCGCTCCTAATTGAGCTAAAGGCCACCTCCTCTATGTCCTCACGTCACCTTGCATATGTGTCTGATGCATTAGGCAATGATCTGTTTGTGTTGATGTTTCTCCTGGACTTAACACAGATCTACTGATTTTTTTTTATCTGAAGCACAGAATCAATATTCAAAAAATTTTTGTAGAAGGTAGGAAGTATGGGTGTTGTTACATGTTATGGGTGAGAAAACTGAGGCCCTAAGAAGAATTAACCTGTCTTGTCAATGCCTTGAGGTATAGGCTCAAAGCCAAATAACTATAGAATACATGCTCCTTCTGAAGAAATGCAATTCAAAGCAATACATCACCATTAAGTAAACATCTAAAACTGAAAAAAAAAACCCCTTTAAAACAAAACAAAATTTTTTAAAAATCTATGATCCCATCTATTATAACAAATTATCTTAACCTCCTTGAGTAACCTACTCTTTTTCCACTTAAAAGTCTCTCAATGGATTCATGCCTAAATCTTTATTGGCTATAAAATATTTCATACTATGATGTGGTATTACTTTAAGTATTATCCTATTACTGAACACCTAGTAGATTTTTAATATCTTTTCTTATAAAAAATATGTTAACTAAATCTTTGCTCATATCTATAGGTATGTCCTTAGGATAAACTTCTAGAAATAGAATTTCTGGAGGCCATGGCATCACCTGGTTTGACAGACCTCTCTATAAACATTTTTTAGAAGACCACTGGGGTACCAACGATCATAGCAGCATTATTCATAACAGCCAAGAGGTGGAAGCAACCCAAGGGTCCAAAAATGGATAAACATGTGGTGGATACATATAATGGCATATTACTTAGCCTTAAGAAGGAAGGAAATTGTGACACGTGCTACTACATGGATGGACCTCAAGGACATTATGCTAAGTGAAATAAGCCAGTCACAAAAAGACAAATACTGTATGATTCCACTTATGTGAGGTAGGTAACAGGTGAGAGGCCCGGAAGCTTAGGCTCCATTCAGTTCGCGTACATCTGCCTCTCGAGGGGGTCTGTCTGTGGAGGCCCTGACCTAGGGTGACATGCATTTCCTGCCGCGGGACACTGCCGACAGCCACGCGGGCTTCCTGCCTCTGAGAAGGCAGCCGCTCACCTTCACTCTGGCCAGCTCTTTGGCTTTCGCATAGAGGCTTTGGCTGATGCTCAGCAAGTTGAAAATAGGCTGGTGCCATATGCCGTCCAGCAGCTGCTTGGAGAAATTGCTGACGTAGTACTTCCTGAAGTCCCACATCATCAGGATCCGCGCAGGGACGCAGGACTCGGCGTACGAGTGGCAGCAGTCGCAGAAGTACTTCCCCAGGTACTCGCAGTACCGGAGCCGCTTCACAAACTCTGCCGAGCACAGCGGGGCGAGGACAGCGGGGCTGAGCCCTGCACACCACGCTGAAAATCTAGCCTGGTCCACTCCCACCCCAGATGCCCACGCAGGGATCAAGGCTCAGCGACTGTTTCCTGATGGTAAAGCCACGCGCGAACTCATGACAAGTGGGGAAGCTCCAGCAGAGCCTTGGGGACTTAAACTGTGGCCATTTCATGAGCTTTGCTTTGGTGGCACAAATGTTGGGAAAACAGAGCCCTCCCCAAATACTCCTGGTTTTGGAGGATGGGCATTGCAAACCACGGTGTAGCAAAAATCAAAAAACATTTGATTTAGGGTCTGGAAATCTGGCTGTCAGTCCAGACCCCACCTCTCACCAGCAGGAAAACTGAGGGTAGGTGGGAATTTCTCCAGGCTACTAGATGGAGTGATACGGCAGGTAGGAAGAGTGCTTTGTAAATTACAAAGCAGTACAGGTACAGTGTCAGGCAGTAGCACCTGGAAGAGTTCCAGTGAGGGAAAGGAATACAAGCAAGCATGCACAAAGGACAGAATGGGCAATACGTGGAGAGAAGAAATGCAGATAACCAGTAAGACGTGAAAAACAATCTCAGTAATAATCAAAGAAATGCATATTAAAACAGTGCGATACTCTGTTTTGCCTCAGATTGTCACAAATTTGGAAGATCCAGAGCTGGTGAGGTGTAGAGAGATGGGCACTCACTCTTGTGCTGATGTTAAGAAGACATTTCTGTGACTACTTTGATTCCTACATGTGCAGCAGTAATTCTACTTCTGTAACTCCCTCAGATGGAAATGCTAACAGGCACAAAGATTAAAGAGGTGTTTATTACAGCACCTCTTCATTATAAATGAGGGGAGAGAGGGTGGCAACCAAAATGCCCATCAAAGGGCAACTTGTTAAATAAGTATAGTGTGCTCAACGTGAAGTACCATAGAGCCTATTAAGTACATGGAAGAGCATGGGAAGTGGACATCCAGTTACAGATATGTATAATGTAGTCTCAATTTTGTTTTTGGGCCGGCCTGGTGGCACACTGCTACAGTGCGCCGCTTGGGAAGCGCAGCGGTGCTCCCGCCGAGGGTTCGGATCAATCTCAATTTTGTTTTTTAAAAAGATACATACACAGTCTAGATGCTCACCAAAAAAGTAGACAATGAATATTTCTGGACGGTGAGGGAAAGAAGGGAAAGAATTGCTCTTTGCATTTTTTAATATGTTAAAATGAACAGCTATTGCTTTTGGCAATATCTTTAATAAGATATATTGACAAACAAAAGGTACAGAGACTAATGTGACAAATATCTATGCACTCACCACTCAGCTTAAGGAAGAAAACAATTCAGTTGAAGTCTCCTATATGCCCTCAGCACTAGAGTCTAACATGAACCAAGTCTGATACTTATCATTCAGGGTTTGACTCGTGCGTCTTTCTGTAATTATAATATCATAAGCCATAATACAAATATTAGCTGATATATATTGTGAAAATTCATGAAATAATGAATGGAAAGTAGCTACTACAGTACCTAGCACAATGCAGATTCAGAATACAGTTTCCAAATAATGGCTTAAAGAATGAACAAGTCCTGAGTGATCACAGGAGCAAATCTCTATTGAATATTTGGTTAAATGTTTTACATGTGTAAAACTATTTCAAAAAGTTAATGGAAAAACAGAATTAAAAGATGATACAAATCTTTCCATGAACCTTTTGAAGTGCCCTCATACTATGTTATTTGATGCTTGAAACTCAATGAGGTAGGAACTATTATTTCTCCCATGTCACTGATGAAAACACAAGACAGTGAAGTTGAGCAAGGTGCAGGGACACACAACAGTAAGCAGGCAAGCAGAATTCCCACCCAAGCCTGGACCGCAGCAGCTCCAGCTTTGAGCCATCACAGCCCACTCCTCCTCTGCTGCATTTGATAGAGGGAAAGAAAGAGGAGCCAATGCCTTTGCATGTGCCCGAGTGATCCCTCAGGCCCAGGTCACACTTGCAGTTGATTTTTAAAAGCAAACAAATAAATACAGTTGACTCTCACTATTTGAGGTAGTTTCATTCTATAAAGGTACCATGACCACTGAATTACCCAACAGTGAACCATTGCTCCTGGAGAAATACAGAGTTAGGTACTGCAAGCCTCTGGTGACATTTTCCACCACTGATCAATATATAACCTTGTTTTATGTGTGTTTCTGTTAAAGCTTATTTAACACATTTTGTTGATCTATAACACTGAATTATAACTGATGCCTGAATGAAGTTTATCAAATACACACATTTTCTCCATAAGGTAAATATAGCCTTCTTGTGCTTAGAAACACTAGATAGCACTTCAACCCTATGCTTGGGGACCATTTTACATGGGAAAAAAAGGTAGGGGAGGCACAAAAATGCAAAAAAGAAACAAAAAACATGGCACTAAATAAACCATGAAAAGGTACACCCTGGCCCCTGTACTCTACATTCCTGATCAAACTTAGCAAGGTGAGAAGAAAAAGGACAGAAGACAAAAAATTTCCCTCATATAGTTGACCTTTCCCTATCATCTGCAATCCTAACATCTCAATATCCATTCACTTGTTCATTGAACCTCATTGAATTCATACTGTTATACTATCAATACACAATCATGTCAACCTCTTTTGGTTTCCGAAGTCCTTTCATTACAACAAAACAAAACAAAGCATCCTAAACCAATGGTTCTCAGCCAGGGGTAATTTTGCCCTCTCAAGGGACATTTGGAAACGTGTGGAGACATTTTCAGTTGTCACTGCTGGGGGATGTGACTAGCATCTAGTGATGCTGATAAGCATCCTACAATTCACAGAACACCCCCCCCCCACACACACACACCTCTAATAACAGAGCCAATAGTACTCAAGTTGGGAAATCCTACTCTAAACCACAGCTGTTCTCATCTGATAATAAGTCAATGTCATGGAAAAAATAGGAGAAAAATGTTCTAGAACAGGGTTTTCTAACAGAAGTTTCTGTGAGAATGGAAATGTTCTGTGCTGTCTAATACAGGAGAGGCCATGAGTTACATGTGGCTATTGAGCACCTGAAATGCAGCTGGTGTGATTGACAAACTGAATTTTTAATTTTAATTAATTTAAATTAATTTTAAATAGCCATATGGGTTAGTGGCTGCCATATTGGATACTGCAATTCTCGAATACAGCTAACTAAAGAGAAACAATAACTAAATGCAAAGTATGAAACTTGATTGGAACCTGGATGGAAAAATAATATCTTCAGAATAATGAAAATTGACCAGCAGTAGACATTAGGGAATTGTGTTAATTTTTTTGGTGTGGTAACTTTAATGTCCTCATTTAGAAGCACATGAAGTGGTAAAGGGTGAGATGTCATGTTCAATGTGTGTGAGATTGAAGGAGACTAAAAAAACATGACAACTATATTCAATTGGAATTCTGGATTGGATTCTGGAATAGATAAAGGACATTAGTGGAACACCTGGTGAAATCTGAATAAAGTCTGTAGTTTAGTTAATAGGATCCAATGCTAATTTCTCAGATGTAATAATTATACTATGATTTTTTAAGATGTTTACACATTAGGGGGAAGTTGGGTTGACATTAAGGGATATGGGAACTCTCTGTACTATTTTTGCAACTCTTCTAAAAGTCTAAAATTAGCTCAAAATAAAAAGTTTAAAAAAAAAAATTTATCCTAAGAGTGAGAGGAAGTTGTCAGGAAAAGCCCAAAATTATTTACATGGTTGATAATGCTGTCTACAATCTGTGCTCTGCTACTTCTGTGGCACATTTTCTCCTCTTACTTTCCAGACACATGGGACTCCAATTGCCACAGTCCCTTTGCACGTGATGAACACGCTCCCCTCTTGTGGAGACAATCACTTCCTCATGAAACCTCTCATTCCTAGTCCCCAAGCCCAGATTAAGTTCTCTTGCTGCAAATCCCATAGTGCTCTTGACTTTCTCTTTTGTTACACACGTCACCCTTATTACTATTTACTTACTTGGCTGATGATTATGTTTTCCCTACAAGACAGTAAGCCAGCTCCATAAGGGCAGGACCCTGTTTGTAAAATTCACCACTGTACCAACAGTGCAGACATATCTCCACATCTGAATAAACTTAGGGAAGTACTTAAAAAATTGGTGAAACCATAGTCATGTTTCTGTAGTTTCTGACTCAGGCATTCAATATTTACCGAGGCACCAGGATACAGTGGTTAACCAATCACATGGTTCCCTGCTAGACTAACTGGGGAAATGAGTCATTTAAAGAGAATTAGATACAACTGCAATGTTTGTCGGGCATTATCATCTAATGTGGTAGAGGAAGCCCAGATAGACTTCTGCTTTCTATTTTTCTCTCTCGAAGTGGAGCTCCTCAAAGTCTCTTTCCTTCAAAGACTGCCTATCAAAGGCCAAGGAAACTCTTTCCACCATATCTCTCTTCCTTCCACAGTCACTTCTACAGACACTGCTGGGGCAGAAAGTGATACCCCAAAGTGAAGGCCTCAGAAGCAGCCTCAATAGCAAAGTTTTTCTTTGACCTCCTCCTGCCCTCCTGTCTCTTAGCCTCATTCTCCCTTGAGGCAAGCCACAGAAACTAGAATCCCTCTTCCCCAAGGTGGGTCACAGAAACCACAACCCCCTTTTCCCAGAGCTAACCATAGACTAAAATTATACTCTAGTATTCCCCCTGCCTTTCTGTCTTGGAGCCATCCATAAAGAAATTCTCTGGCCTACCTTGTCTTGTTGTAGGTCGTAAGACCTCTCATTTCAGGAGGGGTCCTGCCCTCTACCCAAAAGGAAGAAACTACACAGAGAGGCCGAGAAGAATCTGGACAGGCCTCACTGGGTTTCTCCCCTCAGTCTATTAGCTCTGGATCATACTTTTTTATCCAGTTACATTTCAACACAACTGTCCCTGCTTCACAGAACCTAACTGTGAAAATGAGAGATTTTCCCAGTATCTTTGGGTCTTCATTCTGAAGGCTCCCATGTCATGTAAAACTATAATCAGATAAATTTGTTATGCCTTTTCTCCTATTAACCTACATTTTGTCAGGTGATTTTCAGCAAACCTTCAGGGGGCGAAGGGGAACTATTCTCATGGCCCTTATAACACCCTGACAGCAGAATAAACAATTCTCAGTTTCAAGTGGGCGACTTGCACTACTCACTGGGGAAAGCCTGGTTTTCCAGGCCTCAGATGGCCTAGAAATGATCCCTTCAAGCCACTTCCTCAAATTCTCTCAGAAGTCTGGCCAGCTCCTTGATACGCCATTCATTCACTAAACTGGTATCTTTTGAGGACCAACTATGTGCCAGGAATAAAGTAGTGAATACAACAGACAACATATCTGCCCCCATAGAACTTGCAATCTAATGAGGGAGACAGATAATAATAAGATAAATCAGTAAAATATCAAAGAGTATTTTAGGAAGAACAAGCTAAGAATAAAAAATAAGAAGCATGGGTAATATCAAGCATACATGTATAAGTTTGTGGCCAGGAGTGTGGTGAGGTGAGCATTTTGGATAGGGCAGCCAGGGAAGACCTCATGACTTTTGAGTGAAGATGTGAAGAAGTAAGAGAACCAGCCCTGGGGATGTCTGCAGGGAGGGCTCTGGGGAAGGACTTAAAAAATTGATGGAACCATAGTCATGTTTCTGTAGTGTCCTGTCTTTTTAAATTATTGTATATGATTTTTAAGTTTTAATCCTAGCAACTTAAAAAAATCCCCTTTAAGGTTATTTTCAGCTGCTACGTGATATTCATAATTAGGAATGCATAGTTAAATTCTCCACTTACAGAGCTCTCAAAAGCCCATGACAAACAAGGTGCCAAGAAAGCTAAGCCAGAAAAATACACCCAACTTCCTTTTCCTAAAACAAAATTTCCTGTGTCTCTCTGCGTATTACTTTTTTCCTTCACCTACTTCCATAAAGAGTCAGGTGGGACCTGTCACACTTGTTTTAAATGCCTTGGAGGCCCAAGCAGCAGCCCATACTTACTTGAGTGGTGGATGAATGTTAAATATGATTTGAAATCTAGGGGGCGCCCAGTCTTCAGTTCCTCGGATCCTAGACTTAAATTTAATTTCCTGTACTATGTCCATGCTAGATTCAAAGTCTCTTCGGACACGTTCTTCATCTACAACCTGCATAATACATAAAAGGATTTAGAAACAACTTAAATAAGCATACTTTAAGAATTTAAATAAAAATAACATTTGAATGTGTTTCCAACATTAAAACTTACCATGAAACTGCTTTCAACTGGACTAAATGACATGTTTAAGAGTCCTCCATGCCTCTAAAGCCAGCAGTGGAAAAATTGCTTCAACTACCACCCAGCTGAGAGCACTTTTCTAAGTATTTTTAGTTTATTTCTTTCCACTTTGAACTTACTGAAAGTAGGTCATTTTGACCTGGAATACTTTTATGAATAGCAGAAGCCTCACTCTCCTTAGTCAACAGACTTACAGATGCTGCCAGTGCAACCCTGTTGTCTTCAGTCTAACCCAGAAACAGCTCCATGCCCTTGTTTCTAAATGTTTAGTGGCTCCCCTCTGAACCTTATACTTTCCTGTTGTCATTTAAAATCAAAACTCCACAAATTTGAATTCTAAGTCCTCCACAATTTGGCCACTATCGTTTGAGCCTTATTTCCCATGAAGATCGACCCTCCGCACACAGATACCGACTAACACGTAGTGTCCAACCACACCGAGTCACTGTGCTCAGGGGCACACCAGGCACCTCCACTTTTGCCCCAACTGTCCTCTGCCAAGAATGTCCTTCCCCACGTTCCCAACTGCCACAGTTCTGCCCGGCCTAATACTTAGGTCAAATTCTGAGATCTCCCGTCAGCCTTCCCATGTTCCCCTGATGAAAGTAAACGCTCTGCCCAGCACTTCCAGGGTGCTTTCTTCCTACCCCTATTTTAGCCCTTGTCACAAAGTTCTCTACCCCAGCGGGCTGCATGCTCTCAGAGGGCAGCTGTTCTACAAGGGAATCAGTGTGTACTTTCAAAAAGGCCACCTGGGGCATGACTCCCACTAGCCCTGTTGAGGGTCTGGGTCCATTGCTTTAAAATGTCCTTGGGCCAGTCACCAAAAGCAATAACATCTACGTACTGGGATACTTATGAGGATTAAGATGTGAATGAGCACTCAATACATGCCAGTTTTGTCATTCATTTTGAGTCTCCTCCAGCACCCAGTGACCATACAAGGAAACATGCATGTTTGAAGGGAATGGGGCAGGCAAAATGAGAATTTAGGAAATTTCAATTCAAGGCCAACTTATTTTGATACTTACTACTGAGCCAGCTGCATTCAGAGAACCCGCCAGCTGATAATCAACTACTGACAACATCCAGCATTTCCGGAATACTCGGTACAACTCTTTGGCTAATAGCTCAGCAGAATTGAAGTCTGGCTTGTAAGTGACACTGAAATGTAAGAGATGCAAACACTGGAAAACTATATTCATGAGGAGTATGCTCAGGGGCTTCCGCAGGTTTCTAACTGTTCTTCCCACCCCCAAAACTCAGAGGAGGCCATTGTGTGAGACCATGAGCCACTCACTCACCAGGTATCCTACTCAACACAATGCCTCCATGCTCAACACATGCTCAGGGGCTTCCGCAGGTTTCTAACTGTTCTTCCCACCCCCAAAACTCAGAGGAGGCCATTGTCTGAGACCATGAGCCACTCACTCACCAGGTATCCTACTCAACACAATGCCTCCATGCTCAACAAATACAGCATCTTTCATTTACCGAAAGTACCAAACTTGGAGGTGTGGTGAAAAGAGCACTGGATTTAGAGTGAGAAGACCTGAGTTCAAGCCCTACTTCTGCTATTTAACAGCATTCTGTCCTGAGGCATAGCCTGTAGGCATCTCAGTATCTATGTCTATAACATGGGGTTTAAAAATACATACTGGCTGGTTAGCTCAGCTAGTTAGAGCGTGGTGCTGATAACACCAAAGTCCAGGTTTGATCTCTGTACTGGCCAGTCACCAAAAAAAAAGAAAAAAGAAAAGAAAAGAAAAACAAAAGAAGAAAAGAAAAATATACACATACATGCATACACACGTACAACCTGCCCAGCCTATCCATGAGGATTAAATAAGAATGTATACAAAAGCCTTTTATACATTATAAAACACTGTAGAAACTTTGTTTCATTTCTAGGTGGTAATTCTGATCATTGCAACTGGCTAAAGTTGGCCCAAGGTGTCAGAGGCCCAGTGTTCACAGTGCCTCAGATAGCCCCGGGGTCTATGTGCAGATGCACAGATAAACAGATACCTCTTAGAGGAGCTGCAGGAACATCCACAGGTTTCTGTGATATTGTTAAACTCTCCAGGTTCTGTGGGAAAATAAAAAAAGTAGTGAGGTCTTTCAGTCTGTTTCACTTAGTCATAGACAATTTTACAAGAACACAAAAATATCTCCCTGCATCTCAGAAAGAACCAATTATTCAGCATCTCCATGCTTCAAGTTCTGAGTTTCTTTTTCTTCTTCTGAGTTTCTATTATAAGATTACAGATAATGACCAAAGATGGGATTTCATCTGAAATTTCACTGAAATACATGTCAGGCCAAGTAGATATCAGGCCATAATGAATATCTGCTTTTTCATTCAGTTCTGCAAGTGAGATGAGAGGTTAGCTATCAAGACATTTGAAACAAGAAGAACATGTTATTTTTTATATTGGGGCATAATCTGATCTTGGAAGAAGTTTCTTTGAATGCCACTATAACGTGGTATTGCGTGTGACGCATGTTTGTATGTGTACGCAGAGAGGAGGGGCCAGGTAGTCATATCAGTTGAGTTTCTAAATCTTACCTAAAATAACAAATTCATCAAAGTCACATTTGCAGGCCTCTTTCATCACATCATAGCAAGCAGGTGTTTCAGTCACTGGGCAGACCTGCAACACAGCACAACCTAGAAAAAGAAGAGAGGGGGTTTTCACCAACAGGAAGAAAGACTGCACAAGCTGCAACACCCAACCAAATAGAAAGTGGGAATAAAAAAGGCTCAGAGATTATTTCAAAAGAATTTAAAAATTCAGCTTCAAGAATTAAAAAATGCAGTGAGCTATTTTTGTGTTCTTATATTCACTATGATTAAGTGAAACGGGCTCACAAGTCTATGGGTGCTCATAATAGTAATCTGCCTAAGTATGTTTGAAAATTTCAGTAATACAAAGTTTTAAAAAGTGAAACAGAAAAAAACAATCTCAGCTTTACAGTGATGCAAAGAGTACAGGAGACATAGATATTATACTGGGTTGAATATTGCCTCCTAAAAATTCATGTCCCTCCAGAACCTGTGAATATGATCTACTTTGGAAATAGGGTCTTTGCAGATAAATCAAGTTAAGAGGAGGTCATACTGGATTAGGCCCTAAATCCAATACGACTGGTGTCATAAAAGAGAGCAATTTGGAACTGGCCAGTTAGCTCAGTTGGTTTGATTGGGGTCAAGGGTTTAGATCTCTGTACTGGCCAGCTGCCAAAAAAAAAAAAAAAAAAAAAAAAAAAAAAAAAAAAAAAAAAAAAAAAAAAAAAAAAAAAAAAGGAAGAGAGAGAGAGAGAGAGAGAAAGATACTTAGCAAAAAATAAGTATCTTTATTTTTATTTGAAGGGTAAAAATATTCTTAAGTTTCATTTAACATATTCATATACAAGGGTACTTCAAAAAGTTCATGGAAAAATTCATATTATTCTTTAATTCTATTCGTCCACAAACTTAAAATTACCCTCACAGTTTTTTTAAGTTTCAGCTAAATATCAGTTTCCATCCAATCATTTAACAAATATTTACATTTGTTATACAAGGAGCTATGCTAGATGCAAATACAAACAAGACAATTTCTCATCTATCTAAAAGTTTAAGATCTCACGAGGGAGCTGAGACACTGACACACTTAACCATGAGAAAATGCAGTTGCACGCTACGTGCCTTGAGAAGTCCCAGGCAGGGTTCTGCATGGCACAACCCCAGGGGCGGCCATGTGCACAAACAACTGTGGAACATTCAGAGCACAACTGTGTTTTATTCCATATGAACAGTGCTCCTGCCCTGGGATACAAATCAGAGAGCATATTATGGTACTGATGGCAGGAAATTGCTTTTAAAGGATGGGAAAAAGGAGAGTGTAATGAGCAATTACTAAGGGAACCCACATTCCAGAGGAGCCTCCTTAAAGCAAAGGGATAGAGGCAGCAGCTTATGAGAAATGTCTGCCAGCAACTTTAAGTAGTCTAGTTTAACTAAAGGCCAATGCACAACAGAGGGAAATGGCAGGAAATGCCTGCTGGAAAATCAGGGAGAAGCTGGATCCCACAAAGCTAAAAATTCCAGGATAAAATGTGGAACAAACTCAGCAGGCCATTTGCGAGGATGAAAAGTTCTGTTCTAGGAAGACAGATGTGTGCAGAATGAGCCAGGGGAAAGAGGCTGAAAGCAAAGAGAGAAAATTAAAGGCAGCAAATATGCATTGAGGACTAAATGAAGTTCTTACAGTATGACTGGCCAGGTAAAAGGTAGGAATGAGAAATGAATGGCAGATAAGGACTGATTCCTTCACTAAATAGAAACAGGGGACAGGGGCATAGAAATAAGGAAGAAAGAGTCAAAGATGAAGCCCAGGGC